GTAATATTATATAGTGTATAGTATAGTGTAGATGGTATAGTGTAATATTATATAGTGTATAGTATAGTGTAGATGGTATAGTGTAATATTATATAGTGTATAGTGTAATATTATATAGTGTATAGTGTAATATTATATTGTGTATAGTATAGTGTAGATGGTATAGTGTAATATTATATAGTGTATAGTACAGTGTAGATGGTATAGTGTAATATTATATAGTGTATAGTACAGTGTAGATGGTATAGTGTAATATTATATAGTGTATAGTATAGTGTAGATGGTATAGTGTAATATTATATAGTGTATAGTGTAATATTATATAGTGTATAGTATAGTGTAGATGGTATAGTGTAATATTATATAGTGTATAGTATAGTGTAGATGGTATAGTGTAATATTATATAGTGTATAGTGTAATATTATATAGTGTATAGTGTAATATTATATTGTGTATAGTATAGTGTAGATGGTATAGTGTAATATTATATAGTGTATAGTACAGTGTAGATGGTATAGTGTAATATTATATAGTGTATAGTATAGTGTAGATGGTATAGTGTAATAATATATAATGTATAGTACAGTGTAGATGGTATAGTGTAATATTATATAGTGTATAGTATAGTGTAGATGGTATAGTGTAATATTATATAGTGTATAGTGTAATATTATATTGTGTATAGTATAGTGTAGATGGTATAGTGTAATATTATATAGTGTATAGTACAGTGTAGATGGTATAGTGTAATATTATATAGTGTATAGTGTAATATTATATAGTGTATAGTACAGTGTAGATGGTATAGTGTAATATTATATAGTGTATAGTATAGTGTAGATGGTATAGTGTAATATTATATAGTGTATAGTACAGTGTAGATGGTATAGTGTAATATTATATTGTGTATAGTGTAATATTATATAGTGTATAGTACAGTGTAGATGGTATAGTGTAATATTATATAGTGTATAGTATAGTGTAGATGGTATAGTGTAATATTATATAGTGTATAGTATAGTGTAGATGGTATAGTGTAATATTATATAGTGTATAGTGTAATATTATATAGTGTATAGTGTAATATTATATAGTGTATAGTATAATATTATATAGTGTATAGTATAGTGTAGATGGTATAGTGTAATATTATATAGTGTATAGTACAGTATAGATGGTATAGTGTAATATTATATAGTGTATAGTATAGTGTAGATGGTATAGTGTAATATTATATAGTGTATAGTACAGTATAGATGGTATAGTGTAATATTATATAGTGTATAGTATAGTGTAGATGGTATAGTGTAATATTATATAGTGTATAGTGTAATATTATATTGTGTATAGTGTAATATAGTGTATAGTACAGTGTAGATGGTATAGTGTAATATTATATAGTGTATAGTATAGTGTAGATGGTATAGTGTAATATTATATAGTGTATAGTACAGTGTAGATGGTATAGTGTAATATTATATAGTGTATAGTATAGTGTAGATGGTATAGTGTAATATTATATAGTGTATAGTGTAATATTATATTGTGTATAGTATAATATTATATAGTGTATAGTACAGTGTAGATGGTATAGTGTAATATTATATAGTGTATAGTATAGTGTAGATGGTATAGTGTAATATTATATAGTGTATAGTATAGTGTAGATGGTATAGTGTAATATTATATAGTGTATAGTGTAATATTATATAGTGTATAGTGTAATATTATATTGGTATAGTATAGTGTAGATGGTATAGTGTAATATTATATAGTGTATAGTACAGTGTAGATGGTATAGTGTAATATTATATAGTGTATAGTACAGTGTAGATGGTATAGTGTAATATTATATAGTGTATAGTATAGTGTAGATGGTATAGTGTATATTATATTGTATTGTATATTTATAGTGTATAGTATAGTGTAGATGGTATAGTGTAATATTATATAGTGTATAGTATAGTGTAGATGTTAGGTAATATTATATAGTTAGTGTAATATTATATAGTGTATAGTGTAATATTATATTGTGTATAGTATAGTGTAGATGGTATAGTGTAATATTATATAGTGTATAGTACAGTGTAGATGGTATAGTGTAATATTATATAGTGTATAGTATAGTGTAGATGGTATAGTGTAATAATATATAATGTATAGTACAGTGTAGATGGTATAGTGTAATATTATATAGTGTATAGTATAGTGTAGATGGTATAGTGTAATATTATATAGTGTATAGTGTAATATTATATTGTGTATAGTATAGTGTAGATGGTATAGTGTAATATTATATAGTGTATAGTGTAATATTATATTGTGTATAGTATAGTGTAGATGGTATAGTGTAATATTATATAGTGTATAGTGTAATATTATATAGTGTATAGTATAGTGTAGATGGTATAGTGTAATATTATATAGTGTATAGTACAGTGTAGATGGTATAGTGTAATATTATAGTATAGTATCGTGTGGGTGGTGGTAGACCACTAGATGGCTCTATATACTGGGGGATGTACACACATACACATATATATACACACACACACACACACACACACACACACACACACACACACACTGTGATAGAGTGTAACCTGCACCAATCCGCGCGCGCAGGCGGCGCCGGTGACGCGCCTCTCTGACGTCACGAGCCAAGCAGAAGGGTCGTGAGTGAAATGAACGTGTGAGTTCTCTCACATGGACGCAGAGAGGTTTCTGCTCGCGATCTGCACAAAACGACGGAATAACGTGTGTTGGGGGACACCTCCGGGTAAGTGACCTTCATCCAATCCGCCTTTTACATCTGTTCTACAAGCCGGTGTGTGTTTTGCGCCGTTGTAACGCAGTGTGTGCGGGGGTTTTCTCTCGGTGGTTGTTGTGTGTCCATACCGGCTTTACTCTCCATCCCATACAACATCACAAAGACTGAGTCCGCCATGTGGAATAACAGTCTTCACACCTTGTCTAGAGGGAGATAGAGTAACTATAATAATAAACATTCTTCTTCTCCTTATTATTATTATTATTATTATTCTTTTATTTATTTATTATTAGATTGCTTCCAAAATCTCAAGGAGCACTACACAACCTGAATTGGCAATACCATTTATTATGAATATATACTAACAGCTCCTGGGTCGCAGGTTCGATCCTGAGCCCCGGTTATAGTCCGTTTCAGATGTTCTCCCCGTGTCTGTGTGGGTTTCCTCCGGGTACTCCGGTTTCCTCCCCCAGTCCAAAGACCTACATGGTAGGCTGATTGGCGTGTCCAAAGTGTCCGTAGTGTATGAGCGGGTGTGTGTGTGATTGTGCCCTGTGATGGACTGGCACCCTGTCCAGGGTGTACCCTGCCTTGTGCCCCATGCTCCCTGGGATAGGCTCCAGGTTCCCCGTGACCCTGAAAAGGAGTAGTAGAAGATGGATGGATGGATGGGTGAATATATACTAACAGCTCCAGGGTCGCAGGTTCGATCCTGAGCTCGGGTTATTGTCTGCACGAGTTTCCTCCGGGTTCTCCAGTTTCCTCCCAAAAACATGCCAGTAGGTGGATTAGTTACACTAAATTTCCCTTAATGAATATATGAATGTGTCTCTTCCATCCAAGGTGTATTCCCGCCTTGAATCGTGTTCCCGGGAGAGGTTCCGGAGCCCGCTCGCCTACCGGAGAGTTATAAATACATTTAGAGTACATTTATACAAGTATTATGTAGCTGAATCTCTGCAGGTCCACTCACTGCACTACAACCTGTAAGTGTGCTTTGGTTTGGCCTTTTGATTCGGTGCAAACTCTTCCACAGCGTGTTTAGGTACTTAGAGATTGTTCCCAACAGAACCTCTTCAGGAAGTGAAGAATTTGTCATAGAACCTTTCGAGAAGCACCGGTTATTTACGGTGTAGATATCATTTTAGTCCTTACAAACCTAGTGCACTTATATAGGAAGTGAGTCAGTATTTGGGATTTGGCCAGAGAGGGGGAAAATGAGTTGAGTGCCAACATGTGTCGGTATTAGTAGTCTTTAATCCTTTAGGGCTGAATCATCGACTGACTACTAATTAGCCACCCTATGTAGTGCACTACGTAGAGTGCAGAGTACTCTTTTCTTTCATGTAGTGCGTGTGTCAGTCTGTACAGGATTTCGCTGGGTTTTTTTGTTTTTTTTGTCATTGTTTGGCTGAATGCGCCTTGTGATGATGTCACGTGGCACGTCGTGGTGATGTGAAACGACGCGCCTAATTTTGAAAAATTGCAATATTGCGGCGTGTTACTGGCACCGAATATAGTGTAAGATATAATGTTATGTTGTATCCTTGATGCTTCTTGTAGAGAGGGGGTAAATAAGCCTGCATCTCTATGTCATACCCTATCTATCCATCCATTTTCTGTACCGCTTAACCTAGGGCAGATATGGTGCAGCAGTAATTAAACCCATTTCATAACCCGTATAGTGCAAATACAGTGGTGGGGGATAAGTATTGAACGCGCCAACACTTTTTCCAGTACATATTTTTCCAATGCGGCTTTTCAAATGAAATTTTCACCAGACTTTGGTATTAACTCGAGAAATCCGCAAATACAAAGACTTCACAACATTAAAGTCCATAAATAAAGTTATGGACTTTATACTGTCTGAAGGGTTTATGGCGCCATTATCGATTCAGCTAGAGCTTGTGCCATTGTGACCAGCGATGCTTCATATTTGTTTCTCATGTGCACAAAATGTCACGGACAGTTGTACATTGAGATGCTTGTTGTGAGGCTCACGTACTCTACAGCTGTGTAATCGAAAATAATATATATACATAAGAAGATAAGGGCGAAGGAGAAGAAGAAAGAGGATGAAAGAGATTCAACATTTACATTTGATATTTAATGGCATTGGGCAGATGCCTTCATCCAGACCGACTTATAATTATTTCTCTTTTATTTATTTACTTATATATATATATATATACAACAACTGAGCAGTTGAATGGGTTAAATGTGAAGCATTGGCAGTGCTGGGATTTGAACTCATGACCTTTCAATGAGAAGTCCAATGTCCTAACCACTGATCTACCACTTCCAGATTATTTGCAATTATATATATTTTACACACAATATGCAGAATATATTCGAGAACAAGAGATGGGGGGGATCTAGGGTACGGTGGCTTAGTGGTTAGCTTAGTATGTGCGGAGTGAGTATGTTCTCTCCGTGCTTTGGGGGTTTCCTCTGGGTACTCTGGTTTCCTCCAGGTTCAAAGACATGCATTGTAGGCTGATTTGCATGTCCAAAAGTGTCTGTAGTGTATGAATGTGCATATGATTGTGCCCTGTGATAAATTGGCACCCCGTCCATGGTGTCCCATGCCCCCTGTGCTAGCCTCCAGGCTCCCCCTGGCCCAGTAAGGATAAGCTGTACAGAAAATTGATGGGATGGATGGATATTCGGGGACTGGCATGTATGCCTAGTCTGTATTTATGTATGTAAAGTGCAGATCCTAATTGTAAACACTGGATATGTGCAGTCACAGTATGTTCACAAGAGTGCAAAAGCTAGTAAAAGAAATAGTAGGTGTGTCCAGTTGTAGTATACTTGGATTATACGGCATATTTAAGGTTTGTTTGGTGAAATCTTTCCCTAAATTAAGATGCAGTGATGCAGGGAGAAGTGTATGTTATACCAAGCACAACACTGAAGTGGTATATGTGGACTAAGTATTTGGATCATGACATACTTGGCATCCACATACCAAATGCTTTGGGATGGCAATCATGTGAGTGGTTTTGTTCGGTTTAGCAAAGGATTTGCTCTCCCTAAGAGCTCGTGGCCCGGCATCATTTAAAGGTCTCAGTGCAGTGATCCCATGTGTGGTAAGAGAACAGAACAGCAGATTCTCAGGGCTGAGGAATCGGCAGAACTGTCCCCAAGAGGCTCCTGAAGCCTCAAATAAATACTTGCACATGACCCCGTGTCCCCATGCCACAAGGAGCCATTTGTGCTTTCCCAGTGACGTCCAGCAAGTCTTACGATGTCAGTCGGCAGTGCTGATTGCGGTCAGCGCTGGGCCATGGGGCTCCCTCCAAAGAAAAGATTCCTTGGATCCTTCTTGTAATCATGTTGTACCAGGGACCTGGATATGCTCTGCTCTCGTTGCATTCTTTGTAATGTATTTAATGAGAACTTAAGCTTTAAAAACTCAAAGCTCACAGATTATCGCAGGTCTGCTGCTTAATCCACCAATCCATCCATTTTCCATACGGGCTTATCCTACACAGGGTCGCGGGGAGCCTGGGTACTCTGGGCACAAGGCAGGGGACACCCTGGACCGGGTGCTAACCCATCGCAGGGCACAAGCACACACAAATTCACACACCTATGGACAGTCAGCCTACAACGATGTCTTTGGACTGGGGGAGGAAACTGGAGTACACGTAGGAAACCTCCTGAGGACTGGGAGAACATGCAAACTCCATGCACACAGGGCAGAGGCAGGATTCGAACCCCCTAGTGGTTTAGTGGGGTTAACCACTAAGCCACAGCCCCCCCAAGCTGCTTAACGTGATATATATTTACCAGTTTATGCGTAAGGGTGTCGTTGATAATAAAAGGTAGAGTAAAAAAACTCAATTAAATAACCATGTGGTTTGTGCAACTCTACAAAATAATGAAGAGTTGGCAGTGTTCGTGCAGTGGTTCGATGCTAACAGCAGCAGAAAACAGAAGGGTTTCAAACAAGAAAGAATAAGCACCACATGGCTAGGAACTATAAAACTGTACACAAAGAGGTATACTGATGCGCACATAGAGGGTTACATACATGAGCTACTCATGTAAACAAGTGACAGGTGCACACAATCAGGGAAATGGTTCAATTATGACACAAAACAGGAAGTGAAACAAAATTAAAAGCATGATGCGACTCTGGGTTGAGGTCATGACACATAACTGAATATATATAACAAGAAAGCATCATACCCTGGATGTGTGCAATAATTCTGAAATAAAAGTAAAACGAGAAATGGGTAAAAAAATCGTTAAAGAAATTCCCCTAAAGCACCACCATTATACCATTCAGGCTCGTCGCTCTTGCCTGAGTACTGCGAGGGAGTACTATCTACTGACCAAGTTTCATGTCTGTAGGTCCTATGGTTAGCACGATCAGTTTTACTGGAATAGAAGAAGAAAAAAAATGACTTGCTTGGCCCCCTGAGATTCTATAATGATTTATCAGTCACCTGGGGCAACAATATGTTTAAATTATAGTAAGTTATATGAAATATTATTATAACAGTAAGCCATAAATGATATCAAGTATATATTACATAACAATATATACATACTGGAGCTGTATATAAGGTAAAAAAAAGGTGTTTTTTATTTATTTATTTTTTCTATCAGGCAAGTGAAAGTTCGATCTTTTGAGGAGGAAAGTATCCTCGTAACACTTACTAAGCACAGTTAGCTGGCTAGCTTGTTGCTAACAACACAAACGAACATGGAACGATCCGTTTGATCAAAAAGGATGGCTTGGTGATTTCTCTGTAGCGCAACAAGCTGTAAGGAGGAGAAAAAGAGATGCTGGTGAGGAAATGACTGTTTATAACTGCTAGAACTTAAGCGATAACAGGAACTAGCTTAAAAAGCGTGACGTCATTTGATGTAATGAGCTCACAATTGTAAGACTTTGAGTTAGTTTGTTTGTATTGTGATTGGTTCGAGAGTATTATAGTGAGGGGAGGGGTTAACTCTTGTAGCATATATATATATATATATATATATATATATAATGTATGTGTATACTGGGATCAATCTTTAGCTTTATTCGTATAGAACCCAGTATTGTCCACTCTCTCTATAGAATAAGATTGGCCTGTTTTTAAGCACTTGCCCGTGAAAAGTCTCATCTTCGGCTGTTTAGTTGTAGCAAAGCTGCTGTAGCCTGAAGAAAGGATTTGGGCTTTCCGTCCTCTTCTCTCGTGCGTGATCCTTATCGTCCTTTGCTAAATGAGTGTAAATAAACAGCGAGTCGTTGGCAGCTTTGAAGCCCGTGCCAAGATCGATGGCCATCACATAGTGCCTGACCCTGAGCAGTCACGAACTCAGCCGCAGATAAACAGCCATTAGCCACACATTTTGTGGAAGGCTGCGGGGTTTTGTAGCGGTTTACTGTAAAATATGATTCACCATTCGGGAAAACGCTCCCGCTACAGGAGTCGGTTTTATTCTGATATCAGTCCATAGACGCTCCCATAACTCAGAAACATTATCCAACGGTGGATGGATACATACCGTGTATATCAGTAACTAGGGACCAGCTCATACAGAAGGTATAGGGCTTGTTTGTTAATTATTCTTGCAATATCTTATAACTCTGAAATATATATATACATACAGACCAAATCAATTAGTAATTGAGTCTCTTGGATGAGTCATAGCGTAAACCATGACGTTTAAGTTTAGCCCGTATGGCTTTAACAGGCAGGAAAATACCGTTTTCTTCAAGGACACGTTCCAACGTCTTCATCCAAAACAAGTACTATTACTGTGTGATTTGGTTGGGGGGAGAAGTAACACCTGTGGCGTCGTTTTTTAACACCGAGAAGCCAGTTAAACCACATCACTAAGTAGTTTAATCATCATGGCGATAAAGAAAGACCCACACCTCTGATGTCACATTTAGACTGACGCCAAGAAATGATGCATAACAGCCTTCCAGAAGCTCAGGAATCTAAGACAAAGAGTGCACTATAGTTTCCTGAACTATTTATATGAATATATATATATTTTATTTGCAATTTGAGCAGCAACTGTAGCTTAAGGTTAGAAAAGTTTGTGGAGTTTGAGGTGTTGAAATTTGTTAGATTTGTCTGATAGTACAAATGGCAGCCCGTGAAAGCTGTGGTGCTTACCGATTTAGCAGAGCTAACGAAGTGCCGCTAACTGCGCGATCTATGCGAACAAACGCTACAATGCCAGTGTCGACGCACGTCGACAGTGCCGAGTGAGCAAGCTGAGGTGATGAATCTTACGTCATTGAGCTATGAATCTATGAATTGAGCTATAAATATGATGATCTGTATATGAGGACACTGAGGCTATGGCGGTAACTGAGTGAAGGACTTGTTTATGATGCTAATCAAGTAGCTTGAGCTAATGAAGGTCAGGCTACGACTGTAACTGTGCAACACAAAATCAGCGAAAGATACAAAATTTACTTATGCGGTGAAACTGACTTCATTTGTGATTTGGTTGTTGTTGTGTTTGTGTTTGTTATGCTAATCGCGTTACGTTATTTCCAGAGGTTTGAGGTAAAGTTTTTGTCAAGACCAAAAAAAAAAACCCCCCACTGCGAACGAAACAACTGTACATAGCTGATTAAAACACTTCAGGGCATGCTGTTATAGGACAGTAATCAACTTCGGGGTGGTTACAGTGACGGTTTCACCCCGAGCCGCATCACACCGCCCTGCCGTTATTCCTGACTGACTGGCACAGTAATAACTACGAGTTTACGCGTCAGGTCTGGAACTGATGTGAAAGAGAACCGTCTCATGAAGGAAAGACAATTTATGCGAGGCTCATACTTGGAGCTGTCTGACCTTTTCAGGTTTTTTTTTTTGAGGCAAGACCTTTCCGCCCATTGCCTTAGAGAAGGAGTTGAAGGAGATGTAGGGAGGGAAAAGAAAAGCCTGTCTGTTTGCATTTCCACACTGTGGGAGGTTGAAAGGGAAATCCTGAATCACAGGGGGATTTTCGCATGGTGCATGCGAGCATTTCCCTGCAGTGACAGTTTTGAGATTTGCGCCGCTCTGGTCAATTAAAAAGGGCTCCGTTCGACCTCCATCTGTGGTCCCGAGGAGGCGAACAAGGAATGTTTCCTTCGCGTTGTAGATCGCTAATTGATTATAGACTAGGTCGAGAGGGAGAACTGATTGAATGAAGAGACAAGAATTTTCAGGTGAGACCTCATTTTAGGCAGAGCTGTAAAAGTGTCAAATGTATGTGTGTCCCACAAAACTGTTGTCTTTCCTCTTAGGGTTTTTTTCACAAGCCCAAAGGTCCAGCTGTGAGTCTCAGACAG